TAATTATCTCATTAACTTCAGCACTGCTTCACTCTGTAGTGTGGACACATTATAAGTGTTCATTTAAAACTGAGGATTTTGTTGTGGGGTTTAAAGGGTTAAATGTGTAAGATGGAAAAAAACAGCATGAAATGTAATTTAACAGTAATAAACTGTAATTATTTTACGGCCACAAACTGTAAAAAAACTGTTATTTACTGGCAGCACGGTTGCCAGTAAATAACTGTTTTTCTACAGTTTGTTGTCGTTAAGTCCAGGAAAAACAGCAATATACTGTAAAACGTAAGAGTCAGATTTACCAAATGAAAAAATTTTATTTGACTGAAATATTTGTGAACATTCATAGAAAGAAAGTTATGCAAAGTCATGAACTGATAAGGAGAGTAAATATTGAACTGAGCTGTATTATTGTGTTTTGGCACAAGAGAGATCTGTTAGTTTAATGTAGTTTTGTAGGTCATCATTGTGCTGGAGAGTAGAGTCTGTGCTTCAGTCAATGATGAGCCACAAACACTGATGTTCTGCTGCTTTATTTAAAGACCGTAACTGTGGTGTTGCTGATACAGTAATGATCTCTTTGTTACTTCATCTCACACATGTGTGTTATAGCTAACAGTGAACTGCAACGATTTGAGTTAAAGTCATGTTTTTAGTTATTTTGCTGTTACACATTAAGAGTTTGCAGTTTTATAATAAGAAATATTCCTTCTCAGTAGACTCAAATGAAATAAGTTCACAGTACTAATATCGTATGAACGCTAGTTTTTAAACTCGAACTGTTTGAAGCAATGGGAGCGGTGTTAATTTCCATGGTAGAATTACGGTAAAACACTGTAAAAATTGTAAATTAACGGTTGAAAGCTGTAAATTAACAGTACCTAACTGGCAACCCTGCTGCCAGTAAATTACTGTTATTTAACGGCACAATTTTTTACAGTGTACTTTCTTGAAAACAGGTTAGATCTATTACAGTTATTCACCGTATATAGTAAGGAAACTTACTGTTAATAATTTATTACAGGTTTTTTTTTACAGGTTTTTACCGTTAAAATCACGATAATTTTTTACAGTGCATGGTGTACACTGCACAAGTCTTTGGTCCTTTATAATAGTTGCTTTTCAGATTGTACAATATGATCTTAAAATGTACTGCAAATAGTGAAATAGTGTCTGGAGTAACTCATAATTTAGCAAAAAAAAATAAATAAATGATGGCATGAACTGTCTTGTTTTACAGAATGAACTCAAGGTAATTTGAATTGAACTATTAATATAAACAGGAGCTGTTGTGTTGAACGATCATATAGAGAATGATGCTTTGAAATTCATTAGGTTATATGGCGGGGTTTTGTGTTGAATTTTGACTTCAGTCCCTGTTTACTGTAATTGCCTGGAGAACTGTCTTCATGTTCATCTTTTGTGTGTTTGAAGTCAAATGCTGAAGTAACTAATGAAGGAGGTAATGAAATTATAGCAAACACACAGCAGTGTTTTGAGTCTCAGAGGCACAGAGCTTACAGTCAAGAGAATATTACCCCACTTGGTTGAAGCTGCCTGACTGCCAATTCCTAACTTATTTTCCAACCGTCCTGGGAACTGACAGTGGTAATGGTATGGCAGGCAGTCATTTTTCGTGGGTTGGGGGCGCAACAGTAAATTTCTACTTAGGGCACCCATATGGCCAGCAGAGGTCCTGCACTCACTAACCTTTGAGTATGTTGAGAATCAGAGCGAGCACAGGTCCGCCAAATGGAGCATCAGGAGCATGAAATATGTATTTCCCCACAGTGAAGTTTAATGCATACTCTTGCCACTCTGCCGTATAATTCATTAGGTCCTCACGTGTTATAATCCCTCCTGTATTATGAGAAACAAAGATTCAGACAAGAGTTCAGACAGATTTGCATACTTGAATAAAATTACATCACTAGACCTCTTGGATGTAAAGAGAGTAAAGTTCAAGCATTAACTAACCTGCAGCCTTGGTGACTTTCAGTATATCATCAGTCAATGCCCCATTGTAAAAGGCACTTATTCCGTAGTTCGCTATCTTCTCATAGGTGGCAGCTAGTTTGGGAAATCTTATACAATCATTTTCCTTGAAGATGGCCTTGTTTAAGTCGCAAAACACTCCACTGGAAAAAAGACAAGAACAGAAGCAAGATGATGATATGTAAATGAAAAGGCTGATGCTTTAATTGTGTCAGATCTGCCTTTAGGATATTTATGATGTTCATCTGCCAAAACAGCTGCCACTGAGGAAGTGTGTTTTTAATAAAAAACAAACAAACAACTAACTAGTTTTACGTTAGTTCAAAAATGAATTAATCTTACCACAAAACTGGATCATTCTTAATTTTTTCCTCCTCCGCTTTAATGGCTTTGGCTAAGGCCTTTCCAATCTTAAATCCATCGCGTGCCAGCTTTATGCTGGGCTCAAACAGCTCCTTCCATGGCAGTCTCCCGCTTCTATTGTGTGCCATCTCATAACCACGCAGTTCTCCTGGTACAGCTATTAACAATCCTGCCATTCATGTCAAAACACAGAGGAGTGATCTAGTCATTCAGGGGTTAAAATGGCAAGAAATCATCAGAGAAATTCACTTTGTTGTTTTAATGATAACATGTGCTTACTGAATCTTTTCAGAGTTGTAAAATCATAATGGTCACTAGAGTTTGGAAAATGTTCATCATTGGTGGTTTACCTGGATTTTTCTCTGTGCCATCCCCAAACATGTTCTCTGAAGCACTCAGTGGAGCAGTTTCTCTAGCATTAATCGTTGCCACCGTTCCTGAGGGTGAAAACATGAACTTTTAATTTTCATTTAACAGCGAAGTGTTGGAGGCCTAAGCCTCTTACCCGGATACGGGTCCAAAATCGCGTTAAAAATGTTTATGCTTCATTTACATAGCCTTCATATATGGGTATCAGCCCATATATGGGTTCATTTGAAAGCTTGGAGTGTCTGCTTTACAAAGAATACCATTCCTTTTGGTTTTTATATTTATAAAGCAGTAAAATTAAGCTTAGAAATGTATTCGTCCCACACACGATTTTCCGCCTAACCATTGCGAAAATTTTTTACGAAGAATGTGTATTTTATATATTTTTCACAAAAAAGTCAAGTCATATATCACAAGAAAGATGTAGATTATTTCATTGTGTGACAATCATCGATCGAATTATCTTCAATTGAATTGCGATGTAAAAATAAAAAAACAGATTTTTTTATGTGTAACATTTCTACTCGTAGCACTGCTTCAGTTAGCCGCAAACAGCCACAAATATCTATATATTATATCTCTATATTATCTTTTAGATTAGGATCTCTTCTTTCAAACAAGACCATTTTCAGGTTTCTGCGTGCTTCCATCGGTGAGATATTCGCGTTCTGCCCAGGTAATGGAATTCAGCGCGTCTGGGGATAATGCGCTCTCCATGTCATGCCAGCGGGGCCAGAGAGAGGGGGGTCGGTCAGCCAGTGGTCTTTGGAGAATGTAGTTCATGAACGCGAGAATGGAGGCTGTTCTCTGCATGGAAGAGTTGCAGCGAGCGTAACTCGGATCATATTAGTCTATGATTATCAAATTACAAGTTATATATGATGAAGAACGGTCAGCGGCGCCGTGGAGAGCCTTGGAGAGCAGTGGACGCGCGTCTGGGGAGACTTTAGGAGCGATTCTCCGTGAGTTTGAGAGTGTTTGCCTTTGTTATGAAACGTGTTCGCTATACTAGCACTCGGATACACTGTTTGCTGACAGAAAAGTACAGTCCATTATGCATTTCAGTAAGTATACAGTAAATATAGATGGATTATTACAGTGCGGTGTAGATGAGCTAACATATGCTTGTTTGACGCTGTGAATGTAGAGATAGCTGCCGGTTAGCAAATTAGCTCAGCTCTGGACCAGGGATGATGCAATGTTGTCATGGAGAGATGCTCAGGATACAGGAGTGAGTCAACTGATGAGGTGAGAGATGCTGTGATCACTATCCCAATACAGAATGCACATAAATGGAATGATATAAAGCTGGAGGATATGGATTCTATTTTAGGTTGTTATAGACCATATATATTTTATAATGTAGACAGTCTTGAGCATCCTGAAATAATTCAACTGATTATAGAATAAACAATATTTGAAATTGGTCTAATTCGCTTGTGCCATTTTGTATATTACTACTTAGAAAAACATAAAAATGAAACATAATTCAATCAATAATCAATTAAAGTGCTTATGGCACAGAGTACAAGAGGATTGTGGGGTTAATGTGTTTTATAAAGCCTGTTTTTGCAAGAGAAACTCACCATGACACATTTAGATGCAGAAATAGACAATTTCACTCACTTCAGATATAATGTTCTAACTCCTGTTTAGAAGCTGTTATTTGAAAGATTCGTTTTTCTGGTACTTTTTGGCATATAGTGGCATCAAACAAAGTAAATTGCAGAGAGCTGGACCTAACAGAACCTGAATTACAGAATTTCAAAAAAATATATTTTTTTAAAACTCCAAAAGCGCCTATGTTTTTTTTGTGATTATTGTAATATTTGAAAAAGATATAATGTTATTTATAAAGAATTACACTCATATTTTGTAGTTCAAAGGGTTTTCTTTACAATGAAACCATTTTTTTCATTTCCTCCTGTATGTGTGTAGGGGAAACATTTGAATTTGAGTATGTTAAATTTAGGCGAAAATACCAAAAACGCCCCAGTGGATAAGTGGCTAATGATCATAGCGGTCACTGTAAGTTCTTGATTAAAATTCCTGCCAAAGATCACAGCTCTTATGTGGATCTGAACTATAACCTCCCCCAAATCAGAGGGAAATAAAAGGTTGACAAAGAAGTTCAAGCCTGTAACCATAGCATTAACTCAAATCCTAAAATCTGAATGACCAACGAGGAGGTTGATCCAGGAACCTGGTCAAGGTGTGGTTTTCTGATGAACAAACAGCATAAAACAAACAAACAAACAAACAAAACAGGCTATTTACTAAGTGTGTCACCAGAATTGCACTGTAAAAAAATATGTATTTTCACAAATAAAATGCAGTATAATTTTACAATAATTTAACATTTTCTATAGAAGTGTGAAATTCTATAAAATGCAAACATTTTTACCAAATCTACCTTTTCCAGTTATTTAACTGATTATGTGTGTTATTGAAAGAAAAACAACTTTAAAATACTTTTTTACTTTAAAATAAAGGCAATTGTCATGATTTTTATGTGCAAAAATATAATGTTAACATGAGATGTATATATCGCACTTTTTCGGTCTGTTCACGTAGAGGATTTCATGGGCCAATGTGAATAAATATAGATTTAAATTAAAAAAGGAAAGATAGTTTATGCATGACCTGGGGCCTCATGTATAAAACTTTATGTAGATTTCATCCTAAATATGTGCGTACACACAAAAGCTGGATTTTGCGTACGTACAAAAGTTTTCAGATTTATAAAGCCATGCGTATACCAGAACCTGCGAAAAATTCCCTTTGTAATATCCAGTCAGCGGAAGATTGTGTGTACATGAATCTCCACCCTGTCTCCTCCCCGAAATAGCCATTTATGGAGCTTACAACGCCTAGTTTTAATATGCATAACTTCATCTGCAAATAATTTCCATGCATATTCCATCCACGTGACACCATGTTTAACGCAGTTAAGGGTAGCCTACAGCACGTTAGGAAAACATGAGATACGTACTATAAATGCTTTTTGAGACAGCACATAGCTATTCAAATTCTATGCAATTCTGCCTATAAAGTAAAATATATTTTAGAATGTATATTTTAATTAATGGAGATAGGCCTTATTTTTTTGCAGTGTAAATAACTGCCTGACTCACCGCGTCAATAACAAAAACATTTTGAAAATAAAAAGTGCATATCTTACAGTTTCCTTCAAATTCTATCTTTTAAATATGGTGTTTGCCACAATATTGGGAAGAGCATGAAAGGGGTTATCATTAGGCTGCTATCTGTGCACGACACCTGTGAACAGTTCTACTGTCATCAGACCAATGGACTGTTTGATCAACAAGTGCATACTTCTGTCTGTCATTACCGTCTATGTTCCAAAGCCATCAGACGAATCAAGTTCACATCAATGATCATTATTCACGCTAAAGTATTTTCTCAGAACAAGAGTTTTGCTATTTAGAACACAATTTAAAGCGGAATTGTCATACGCCAAGCAATCCTCGCTGTGATTAAAACATTAAATCACATACCACAGGAAAACTGGTCGAAAGCAGCACATCCACTGCAAATATTTCTGTTTAGATTCGAATAAAAATGTTGTAAATTCTGGATAATAATTTCATGAAATTTCAGTGCTTAACTTCATTATTCAGAGTGTCAT